TATTATGGTTTATAATGGCAAATGATACTTTGAATATTACATGTTAATAACTTGATTGGAATTATAACCTTGAGTTGACAGTTTGATACTTTGAAAATTTTGAGCCAGCCCTACCCCCAAGGGCTGTAGGGTGGGGCTCAAGGGAGTCAGTGTGCTAAAATTTCTCCATTTTCCATTTCACTTTGAATAATATTTCTGTTCATGTTAAAAACGAAATCAACTCTCTGTATAAATATATCAGGTGAACGTTAAGGCCCATGGGCCTCTTGTTGATATCAGAATCGCCATTGTCACGATAAGCCAACCTATCTAATTATCATTACACCCCTTTTCGTTAAATTAGACAACAAGTCACATATATATATACTTGACTACCTTCAGGAACAATGAACACAGTCTTCTAATACTCTCACACCTACAAGTAAATGACCCGTATATCTTTATGAAACTATGAAAATATGTACATATAGCTTTTACTTACACTCACCAATAAAGAACAACAACAGAAAGGAAGTTGTTGTGAAGGCCCTGATATCAACAAGTGAATGACATGTTGATCTACACTGACCAATAAAGAACAATCAACAGAAAGGAAGTTGTTGTGAAAGGAAGTTGTTGTGAAGGCCCTGATATCAACAAGTGACTGACATGTTGACCCTACACTGACCAATAAAGAACAATCAACAGAAAGGAAGTTGTTCTGATGCTCCTGATATCAACAAGTGACTGACATGTTAACCATACACTGACCAAAAAAGAACAATCAACAGAAAGGAAGTTGTTGTGAAGGCCCTGATATCAACAAGTGACTGTCATGTTGACCATACACTGACCAATAAAGAACAATCAACAGAAAGGAAGCTGTTGTGAAGGCCCTGATATCAACAAGTGACTGACATGTTGACCCTACACTGACCAATAAAGAACAATCAACAGAAAGGAAGTTGTTCTGATGCTCCTGATATCAACAAGTGACTGACATGTTGACCATACACTCACCAATAAAGAACAACAACAGAAAGGAAGTTGTTGTGAAGGCCCTGATATCAACATGTGACTGACATGTTGACCATACACTGACCAATAAAGAACAATCAACACAAAGGAAGTTGTTGTGAAGCCCCTGATATCAACAAGTGACTGTCATGTTGACCATACACTGACCAATAAAGAACTATCAACAGAAAGTAAGTTGTTGTGAAGGCCCTGATATCAGCATTTGACTGACATGTTGACCATACACTGACCAATAAAGAACAATCAACAGAAAGGAAGTTGTTGTGATGCTCCTGATATCAACAAGTGACTGACATGTTGACCATACACTGACCAATAAATAACAATCAACAGAAAGGAAGTTGTTGTGAAGGCATCAACAGAAAGGAAGTTGTTGTGATGCTCCTGATATCAAGAAGTGACTGACATGTTGACCATACACTGACCAATAAAGAACAAACAACAGAAAGGAAGTTGTTGTGAAGGCCCTGATATCAACAAGTGACTGACATGTTGACCCTACACTGACCAATAAAGAACAATCAACAGAAAGGAAGTTCTTCTGATGCTCCTGATATCAACAAGTGACTGACATGTTGACCATACACCGACCAATAAAGAACAATCAACAGAAAGGAAGTTGATGTGAAGGCCCTGATATCAACAAGTGACTGACATGTTGTCCATACACTGACCAATAAAGAACAATCAACAGAAAGTAAGTTGTTGTGAAGGCCCTGATATCAACAAGTGACTGACATGTTGTCCATACACTGACCAATAAAGAACAATCAACAGAAAGTAAGTTGTTGTGAAGGCCCTGATATCAACAAGTGACCGACATGTTGACCATACACTGACCAATAAAGAACAATCAACAGAAAGGAAGTTCTTCTGATGCTCCTGATATCAACAAGTGACTGACATGTTGACCCTACACTGACCAATAAAGAACAATCAACAGAAAGTAAGTTGTTGTGAAGGCCCTGATATCAACAAGTGACTGACATGTTGTCCATACACTGACCAATAAAGAACAATCAACAGAAAGTAAGTTGTTGTGAAGGCCCTGATATCAACAAGTGACTGACATGTTGACCATACACCGACCAATAAAGAACAATCAACAGAAAGGAAGTTCTTCTGATGCTCCTGATATCAACAAGTGACTGACATGTTGACCATGCACTGACCAATAAAGAACAATCAACAGAAAGGAAGTTGTTCTGATGCTCCTGATATCAACAAGTGACTGACATGTTGACCCTACACTGACCAATAAAGAACAATCAACAGAAAGGAAGTTGATGTGAAGGCCCTGATATCAACAAGTGACTGACATGTTGACCATACACTGACCAGTATGTACCCTTTTTATTTACAGCCACCAATGAACAGCAATCGGAAGAACCTTATAAATCAGGCATTCCGAAAGTTGGACAAAAGTGGAGATGGGGTTGTCACAATTGAGGATCTCAAAGGAGTGTACAACTGTAAAAAACACCCCAAGTATATGAATGGCGAGTGGACAGAAGAACAAATTCTACGCAAATTTTTGGACTCTTTTGACACACCGAACGAAGCAGATGGCAAGGTATGTTTTTGATATTTTATTCATAATACTGCTTACTTATTGCATGAGTTTTTAATCTGTATCCCTTGCCTATCTGTTACTACTAGTCTTGTTAATCTACCTCAGATTATTAGTTTCTGAGGTTGATCGCCCAGTCATCAACAGTTGCCTCCCTTCCTTTATCACAAGTTATTTCCCTTAAAATTTGTTTTATGATATCCTGAATGGTCAGCATATCACTTTTTTTTTTTAATTAAAAAGCAAATTTAAAACAATTCTTGATGAATTGTTTGAATTTTATTTTGTTTAAACTTTTGATATGTTTTGATCATTAAAACTTTAAAAGAAGATTTGTGGATGAAATGAGAAGCAGCAGATAGTTGTAGTAAGAGGAAGCAGTGGACTGTCTTGATATCTGGGCTAGCTATAACCTTAAGATATGTGGCGATTTCTTGTAACAGTTATTCCATCACTTCCTATTCACGATAAAATCGACAGATTCAAAGCAATTTTTAAAATTATCTAAACAACCTGTGACTGAAAGACTTCAGTGAATATTTCCATTGATGACACTTTTTGACAGATTTATTTATATTCTTAATGTTGATTATTAGAAATTTTTTAATGTAATATAAAAAAAAGTATATTTGTTTGATATTATAATGATGTTATCATATTAAATCAAACTTTAGACTTACGGTGATCAATATACGATTTTATCAGGGTTGTTGGGAAAGTTCTGTTACAAAGGAAAACAGGAACCACCTATGTCTATCATCTCCTGAAAGATTATCTTAGTTAAAATGGCTTTCAATGCTTTAGTTATGATTGTTTTGCTGTAGAAAATTCTGCTCTTTGGACCTAAGTTGGGTGTTGTACACACTATATATATGACAGATAATTAGGTTAAGTTGCTGTGCCAGCATACTCAGAATTTGCACCCTTCCAGTTGAATTTTGAGAATTATGCTTGCGCAGTTCTGCTGTTTCTAACTGAAAAGTCTATCGTCACAATGGCATTGGGGTGGATTGGTTTTGGCTGAAAGGATGTACACAACAAAAACCATTTTTGACGTGCCACACACTCGATCCGATAAAACGGTAGTGTGGTTTGTTACCTGTACTTCACTTTCAAAGTATACACAGAGATTTTACTAATGTATTTAGACAGGATTATGATTAACTCACATTCACCCCTGACAACACATTCACCCCTGACAACACATTTGAGCTAATCTAATTCAAAGGTAAGAAAAGTTCATTATAAAATGGTAGGTGTGAATGAGTCGATGCTGTCAGATCCTTATCAGTGCAAGAACAAAGTTTCCAAAAGTACTAGTTCTTCAAGCAAGTTCATTTGAAAAAACATTTGCCTGTATATAAAATATGCTGATCCAAAAATAGATCATATACCTGGGTATATACATGAACCATTCATAAAAAATGTTTTTTACTTTATAACATTATTGGCTTTAAACAGAATAAGACTTTATTGCCTATCCATTGTTTATTTGATAAGTATTAAAACAGTACCTATAATGTAGCTATAGTTATATTCAATGGAAAATTTTGCACCGGTTGGTTTGGCTGATAGACATGAATTTTCACTTGCCCGCAGACCAAATCTTCTGACACCAGGCCTTTGAACGTAAACATTTTTGCAATGTAAAGATCCTTGCATTTTTCTTGTTTTGTTTAATCATATATATTTTCAAATATTCATATTTTGAACAACTAATTTTTAAATGCATGGCAATGTGTGGTTTTTAACTCTTTTTTTTATGGAATATTTCTTTTGAAAAGGGTCTAGAACAAATATTTCACAATAGTGACAATAGTAGTACATGTTATACAGTGTAACTTGTCGGTACCCCTTACCTACAATAGAATTGTTGTTGATGCTTTTTTCAGTCTTTCTTAAACAGTGCAAATATGTTTTTTTCATCCTGGGGAAAAGTTTCTGTTAAGCCAGGGGAAAGTGCCAGTTTTGGGCAGTAAAACAAGGCAAAATTAGATGATGGTTACATACCCCGCACTGAAAGTGTTTCTGGTGGTTATGTAGGTTTTCCTCATCAACTTTTAGTTTCAAACAGTTCTACAATGTAGTCGCACAATAAAACAGCTGTGTATATATACCTAAGCATTAAAACAGCTGTGTATATACCTAAGTCCTCATGACACAACTGTTTCCACAGATACAACCTACAGTTATCCACAACTATATTGTTGAAATTGACTTCTAGTCCATTCTTTACATGCATGAATTCTGTGCTACAACGTAAACCCAGGCAACTGAAGACAGCAGCAGGAATGCATGCAATTTTAATGTAGATGGCTGCCAAAATGCAACATAGAACAACTTAGAAAAATGAAATGAATTGCATGACCTGATTATAACATGTAAGCATGATCCCTTCTAACCCCGGACTCCTGCCAGAACCTTTTGACATAGAAGAATAACCTCTGCAACGTACACAGTGCTAGTCGCGATCATAGCAACTCGCGGGTTTATCATTCACCAGCTATATACCACTGGGCATTTGATTGCTATAGCCCACCAAGATGTGCAGTATGACACCAGACTCTAACGAATGTGATGTAACTCTGGTAAGTTATAAACTCATCAATCATGGAATCTGCAGTCATTACCGGTCATTTTTCAACGACCCTGCGTGTATAAGATCTTCAATTGTGTTGATAAATTGTATTGTTTAATCTTGCAGTATATCCATTTTTCTTTTGAAGATATACATGGAAGTTTAAAATTTGATGAAATTCATTAAATACGTTACTGTCCCTTGAATTTTATTTTACTTATATGTACATGCCACTTTTATAGTCGTAAGAATAGCTCTTCTGAGCTAAAGTTGCTTTGTTACAAACACGACTCTAAATAAAAATAAAAAATAAAAAATAAAAATGTCGCAGGAGTTAGATTGATCTTGTAGTATCCAGCTAGTCACCTCATTGTACCCAAACATATATCCCTTATTTACAAGTAGACACCTGATTGTACCTTACCTGTATGTATTGTCATAGATAGACCATTGCATTATAATGTATACAGTCAGATTCATAAAAGTCTGCTTTCAGCTAGATATTAATGGGGGGAATAATTATGAATATATTTGTACAAATTCAACTTAATATGGGTTTGTTTTAACTTTTATGTGAATTCAAAATTTCATTTTTGTAATTCTCAGCTCATAGTATTTTATGGATATTCTACATGAATAATGACATATAACTGGGATCCCAAAATCCAAAATGGCAACCGATCAAGGTCAAGGTCAAGGTCACTGTTGCTAAAATTATAATGGGAGTTATACAATATCAAAACTACTCATCAGTGTTTGTTTATTGTTAATGGTACTGGGTGGATATCCAACATTTATAATGTCATATTACCTGGATTCCAAAATCCAAGACAGCCATTATCTGTTGCTTGTAATTGGCTGAGCCATATGTGGCTATAACTTCTGTTCTGTTGATCAATATTGTTCATACTAAGTGGTAAATGGCACTTGGAAGAAAAATTGACATGCAGAATAAAACCAAATAAACCAGATCCCCTAAAACAAGATGGCCAGATTGGCTGATCTGAGACCTTTCGGGTTAACACATCTACTCTGTAAGTCTGTAATTGTTCACACTTACAAACACCTTGTATTTGTCAGGTGACACATACATGTGTAATACTTCAATTTTGTGATATCCAAAATGATCACTGTGGCTTCTACTTGGTAAATAGGGATCATATATAAGGTCAGGCTCCCTTGCTACCTGTCAATTCTGTTGTAGTTTAAAGTATGACAGACGACTTTTGATTTATGTAAATAATTAAAATTTGACAATCAAGACTTCTTCCAGATACATCTGTATGGTCTGTGTATTGCATGTATAGGCATAAAAAGAATGGCATGCACAAATTATTTGTAGACTTTAATCAATTAGTTAAGGAAGTAGACTAGAGATGTAAATTGTAAGATATTTTATGGTGAGTCTTAAAAATGTGAAAATTCAAATTGGACAAGCAGAAAAATCTTCTATTAATGTAGTCTTTTTTGTTAAATATTTTATATATGTTTCATTTTGCAATCTTGTTACTTCTTGTTTGTTACACAGAGAAAGTGTCTGTTCTAGGAGAATCAATTCTATCTCCTTTTAACTGCTACAGTTTTATTAGGTATCAAATTTAAGAAATGTGGCTATCAGCTTTTACACACCATCTGATATGATATCCAGTTATTTTTAACATATTTTATAAATCAAGTGTCTATGTTTGTATTTTGAATTTATCTTCATCCTGGTATTGTTCTTTTTGTTGATAACATCATAAAATAATAGTTACTGGTGGTCAGTTATGGTTTGTCAGATCGGAACTTCTACCCTATTTGAATCTATCTTCCTTATATTAACCTCATTGCCCCACCCCGTAAACGTCCATGCTTCTGTTCTTTCCTACACAGATTACCAATGATGAGTTTATCAACTACTATTCTGGCGTTAGTGCCAGCATCGACAGCGACTGCTACTTCAGTTTGATGATGACCAGTGCCTGGAATCTTGATGGTGCTGCAGACAAATATAAGAAGAGGGGGGACCGTGTGTGTTAATTTAACCATTGACTTATTTATTTAACTTGGCTTACTGAAATGTCAGCATTAAGATGACCCACCATGGCTGGGTAGTTGTAATTGAACACAGATATTATTTAGATACACGAATTTTAAAAGGAAAACATCTTTTACCTGAGAAAACAAATGGTATTGATTATTGGCATATTGTGTTATTGACCAACATCAATTAGTATAAACTTTTTTATTTAAATTTAAATTTAGAAAGATATTATAATTGAGGATTTTTTTCTATTTAAACAAGAAAATGTAAGTGTTTATTACTCTTGGGTATATCTGACTGGAAAATATAACAGCTTTACCTATGATAGAATGTGTTGTATAACAAAATAAAGTAGTAAAATTCCTTTGTGACAACAAATCCGTCCATACCTTAGTTCCTGAC